GTATTTTGCGCTTGTTTATGGTGAAAGCGTCAGCGATTCCTCAATACAAGCCCGGACTCTGTTCTAAAAAAGGTTATTTCCGTACCTTATTCTGCCATGGTCCTACTTGTTTGCTTCTTTTTATCATTGATTAATTCACTGTTAACACACTTACACTTGACTGACTGGTTTCAAGATAGAACTTTGCACAGATGTGCAGCAGTTCGAGTCGCCACACTCCAAGTAGCACACAAAGCAAGAGAAGAAAGTAAAAAGAAACTCAAAATGGAGACAGTAAACAGAGATATGAGGCAAAAAGAGTAGTATTATGGAAGAACAATATAGTTTCATTGGATATTATAAGTCACAAAGAGTAGATGCATCTGCGCCAGCCATTGAGAACGATTTTGAGCCATATCACCAATTGTCTCTTGCCATCATTGGTTTCTACCGTCCCGAGAATCCCAACCAGGAAGTCCACACCTTCCTAAGTGGCTGGCTTAAACTAACTGTTATGGATTTCACTGACTGATGAAATCATGTTTTGGTTTGACCACCACTGGTTCTTTTCTAACTTGATCCATCTTTTGTCAGTCAGCTAACATTGCTCGTTGTCGAGGAAGGCCATCGATGACTAGGCTAGCATGCGTAACACATGTCCTAACCATCTCAGTCAATGTAACTTCACAGCCTCGTCGATTGATTTCCCCTCTTTACCTAGCGCTCGACCGAAGCCCAACCTCAATATCATCATTGGTGTTTACTGTTCCGAGGACCCCAACCAGGAAGCTAGTCTACACCTGCCTCCGTAGCTAGATCAAACTAACTGTTGTGGATTTCATTGACTGATGAAACCATGTTTTGGTTTGACCACCGATGGCTCTTTTCCAACCTGACCCTATGTCGTCAGCCAGCTCTTACATGTACATTTCACTGCGTTTTATCTCACCTTCACACTTGTCAAGTGGACGCTCAACTAGCTGATGTCTCATCGAATCACAATTTTCACCTTCAAACTCTTCTTTCTAATGTGTCGTCGACTATTACGTAATTTTCTATCTTTAGCTATAGACACCACTTCAGAGCAATAGTATCAGTTATATCACGCCTTTTACTCAATAGTAGAATGCTGTACTCTTTTGGTAAATATACGATTTTACAGTCTCTGGAGGGGATTTCGTCGATAAAGAAAATTTTCTTCTCTGAATTGTCTTTAATTTCTTACACTTGGTTCCCTTGATAAATTTCGATAAAGAAAGAAAGACCAGATTTGCAGTATAAAATGACGTAGTCATTCTATTTCACAGGATCTCATCAACAGTTGCAAACAATGGCTCCAATATTTGAATGGTGGTAGTAGAGAAAGTATTGTAAATTTGACTCATCCGAAATGTAAACAACACCATTGTTAGTTCGTGTTACCAACAGTTTATACGATTTCGGGATAGAAAAGGAGGGAGGAGGCGAAGGTAAAAAACAGAAAAATCTTTTAAACAGTGTCCGATTCTGAATTCGCATAACACTGGTCGTCAAGTTCATAAGATTTGGAAACTTGCTCAGTGAGCTGAAATCACTAATATGGATGATTAATCAATGTAATCAAAGTGCAGTTACCAAGGGAGTGTGAGATTGATCGTCCTTTCTTTCTGTATGCATAAGTTTGGTTTTTAGACGTTTGATTGCAATTGCTTCAGCAGATTGTAGTAAAATTTACTGTCCTCTGTATGTTTAATATTTTGAATGATTTGAAAATCTTGAAGAAGTGCCTAGCATATCCACAAAGTGACGGGCAATTGCATTTTGCGAATATCTGCTTCTCTTTAGGCATAAGTGTCTTCGGTAATGCTCAGAAAACGGATAGAAGTCCTGCCTTCTTTCTGTCTTTCCAGCTTACTTGCTGCCGCAAGTTCACCTAAATTTATAAACGTAGTTGGAGGTAACATCAGCCGGAGTACTTGTCCAGTTCGGATAAGCTTGTGGTGCTGTATAATGATACTAATTTAGCTGCAGAGAGGCATCTTTTTTATTGCTCCTTTCATTCTCTTGTCAATCTTTCGTGATACCGCTTTTCCTTTGAATGGGAGACAAATGAACACTTTCTGCTTTGCAACAGTTGGATGTATCGTTTTCTCGTCCTTTATTTCCCGTACTTTTGGATACACTGCTCAGCAGTCCACTCCGTCCTCCTTTATGGCTGTCAGTGAGACCTGGTCATTAAGAATGGAAGACATGAAAAGCCTGGCTAGTTGTCTTTGATCATAGGTGTTTAAGTGCTACTCCCGTGTTAAGTGGTATAATAGAGTGAGCAATATTGAGGTTAGGCTTCGGTCGAGTGCTAGGTAAGGAGGGGAAATCAATAGACGAGGCTGTGAAGTTACATCGACTGAGATGGTTAGGATATGTGTTACATATGCCTAGCCATCGAGCCTTCCTCGACAACGGGCAATGTTAGTCAACTGACATAGGGTCAGGTTAGAAAAGAGCTAGTGGTAGTCAAACCAAATCATGGTTTCATCAGTCAATGAAATTCAAGCAGTTGGTTTGAGCTAGCCACGTAGGGAGATGTAGGCTTCCTGGTTGGGGTCCTCGGAACGGTAAACACCAATGGCTGGAGACAATTAGTGATACGGTTCAAAATCGTTGTCAATGGCTGGCGCAGATGCATCCACTCCTTGTGACTTATAATATCCAATGAAACTAAATTGTTCTTCCATATTACTATTCTTTTGCCTCATATCTCTGTTTACTGTCTCTATTTTGCATTTCTTTTTACTTTCTTCTCTTGCTTTGTGTGCTACTTGGAGTGTGGTGACTCGAACTGCTGCACATCGGTGCAAAGTTCTACGTTGAAACCAGTCATTCAGTCAGGATACACCAATTTTCCCTCAGACATTTCTCAACAAAGCCTGATTCTTCTTCCGCCTTGTTGGGCGAACATAACCTCATGGCTCTTTCGTACAGTGTCCTCACTAATCCACGCTTATAGCTTCTAGAACACAAGTTGTTATAGTGAAGATTACTGTTCAGTCCAAGTTTCTTTTAACTTTTCGATCGTACCATCATTTCTTCTCCTAACAATTAATATCTAAGGATCGAACTCATTGACATATCGGCTAATATTTTGGATGCATTAATTTTATATTGAATCGGGAAAGCAAAGCAAACTTTCATTACTCTCAAGTCTGTGTAGATATCAACAGCACTCAGCCTGAAAAATAAGATGCGGATTTTCAACTCCGATGTGAAGTCAGTGCTACTATACGGATCAGAAACTTGGCGACGCGTCACGAAGGGGACTTCGAGCAAACTACAGGCCTTCATCAACAGCTGTCTTCGCTCAAGATCAGATGGCCAGAAGAGATCAGCAACAGGGATCTCTGGAAGCGAGCGAGCCAACCAGGAACTAATTGTGCAACCAATCTAGAGGAAGAAATGGAGGTGGATTGGTCATACTCTTAGAAAACCATCAAGTGAGTGACATCACACGCCAGACCATCACCCGAGTGGAACTAGAATGGGAAGCGGCGAGTTGGTTGTCAGTGTAAGGGTGACATTGTTGAGGTCATGTGAAGAAGAGATGAAAAACGTTGGCAGAGAACTGAACGCAATGGAGACGTGCAGCTGAAGCCCTAGGTGTTCCTCTAGGAATTAAAAGGAACAATAATAATAATTTTATAATGTTTTCAACTACTATGATCATTCAACCACTGTAATATCAGGTAGTTTGCAGCAGTTGATGAGGACTTGTGAAATAGAATGATATCACGTTTTATGCTGCGAATTTCGTCCTTCTTTCTCCCTCTCTAATTTCTTCAGGCCACATATTGTAACAGCAGAAGGCAAGGCACAGAAGCCAAGGTATATTTTTCATTGATCGAACCGCTATTTAGATATTTACAGTTTATATTCTCTAACCAATCACTGAGCGTGTGATTTCGGTTTACATCAAACGACATGAAATAGAATGTTCAAATGCATATATTATTCTATTGCTAATTCGCATTTTCAACACCAATGTGAAGTCGGTTCTTCTATACGGGTCAGAAACTTGGCATGTCACGAAAGGGACTTCCAACAGCCAGTTTCAGACATTCATCAACAGCTGCCTTCGCTCTATACTGAAGATCAAATGATCAGTCAGAAATAATAAGCAACAAGAAACTATGCGAATAAACCAACAGGTGAGAGCCGATCGCTCAACAAATATGTAGAAGGAAGTGGAGATGGTCCGGACATACATTGAGGAGGCGGCCGAATGACATCGCACGCCAGAGCATTGCTCGAGTGGAATCCCGTTGGCAAGTGACGAGTGAATTTTCGGTGTGAGAGTGACGTGAAGGAGATCGTGTAAGGAAGAGATGAGAGAGTTTGGTCAATCGTGGACCCAGCTGAAGAGGACGGCAGAAAACAGAACAAAGTGGAGATGTGTTGTTGAAGCTGTATGTTCCACTCGGAACGCAAGGAATAACAATAATAATGCAGTTTTGAACTGTGGGAATATGTAAGGATAATATTCCTGTTGGACACATTGTCTTTATCACACCACCACAATATTTGTCCCTGCTACTTAATGGCATTCTGTGAATGTCTGATATTTGAAGTTTTCACTTTTTTTACCGATTAGTTTTTATCTATGTCAGGACTCTAGTCTTGCGCCAAGTGTACTGAAGGTTGCACTGAAAACAGTAGTCTTCTTTTTTCTATTCCTTTTGCATTCCAAATAGGATTATAGGGGCTTCAAGCTTGATCTTTGAAGCTTCTAAAGCAGGGGTGTTTTATCTTTTTACGGAATGGGGTTGCTAGTTTCCCGTTCAACCTTCCCTCTTCACTGGGTGTATTACTGGCTAAGTGTGAGGTTTAGGAGTGAGTCGGTCGATTGGGGGGGGGTCGAACCTCGGACCGCTTGGACGGTCGGCGAGCCTTCTACCGCTAAACAGCATATACAACTTTATTCAATATTTATTAAAATAAAAACGAGTGATGAAACGTAGAATTTCTGTTTATTTGTTTATTTGTTTCAGACAATCATACCCTCAAAGTTATCCTTCTCAACAAAGTGCAAATACCCATGTGAAAATCAATGACTTGCCTAAATCATCCACCCTACCGATTCATAATGAAGGCATTCCAAAATCAAGTGGATCACATTCATCAGCCAATTTCGTATACGACGCAAGCAAATTCAATCAACCGATTGCTGCTCATCATCATCATCATTCTGCAGCTGCTCTTCTGTCTAATCAACAAATCGATCAACTACAAAGTAGAGCATTGCAGAGTACTACTACTACTGCTACTTCTACTGGTCGGATTGGTTTGAATATTAATCCAGCGTTGAGTGCAGCTGCAGCCGCTCTACTCTTCCCTCCACAACCTCCTCCAGCGCATCAATCGAAATGTTCTAGCCTACCAGCACAAAAAGAACGTGTCGATGGAAGAAATACTGGCAGTATACCTGCTGCACATTCGAATAACAATTTCTAAGATGTTTTATGCGTGTGTGTGTGTGTGCGTATATTAAGATTTCAGGTGTGTTTGTTTGTTTGTGTGTGTGTGTCATTCATTTTGTATAGTTTTCTCCTATTTTTTTTTCGATGTTCCTGTGTCATCCTTATTTATCAAGTGTTGGTTCTGCAGGGATTTGATTGGTTAGAGGTCTAATCATGAGATTAAATATCAGTTAGGGAATCACTGGAAAACCTGTGAGTACTGGACAGCTGTTTCGTACTAGTTTGAGACTCTTCATCGATACCCCCTCCCTATATTAGGGCTCGAACCCAGGACTTTCGTGGGCAAAGTTAAACTTTAAGCATCACTAACTACCAATCAGCAAATGACCTCGAACGCACCAATCACGTGAAGGAGGCATTTTTGTGTATAAAATACATATATTTATGAAAAGATGCATAGCAGTTAGGACTCTCGCCGACCATGCACATGATCCAAGGTTCGTTCCCCCGCTGACGCACACCTGATATCTATGGTCGGCCTCCTAAATTTGGACTACCGATATCACATGCTGAAAATTTCATACTTGTGCCAAAATACTGTGTGGAATCAAGCTTTAATAAAATAATTTTAAAAAAAAACTGTAGAAAAGTGTTACAGAGGATACCTTCCTCTCACATGTGATAAAAATAGCTCTCAGTTTTAGGTTGGAATATCAACGGAGCATAATTCCATTGTGGGTAAAATTTATTTTGATAAAGTCTCATAGTGTTATGCAGTAATATTTACTGAGCAATAAATTGTGCTCGAAACGTCATCAATAAATATTACTGTTTAACACTGTGAGACTTTATCAAAACAAATGTTAGCCGCAATGGAATTATACTCTGTCACAGTGCACAAGTTCTATTCATATATCAACAGAGTAATTTAACCATATTCTATGCATGTAACTAACTATTTAGGTCTTCTAACAATAACAGTAAGCCCAATCTTTCCTGAACCTAACCCTAACGTGAAAAGATCCCTAAACTAACTGTAATCTAACTCGAACCAACTCTAATGTCGCCTTTATTAAGTTAACCTAACCCTAACTTGTCCTTGGCTTAAAGGGTAAATTATTCCTTCCCAAACCTAAGCATAAACTTGCGAGATGATATTCCACTTAATGGCATAACACTTCGATGAGCATATTTTATTAATGATGACAGCATTATTTGCCAGTTAGCGTTTCAAGGTCATTAGTGCTGTCGAACTCCATTGGTAGTTAGTCGTCCTGAAAGTTTAACTCGGCCCTTTCGTGTTACAGGGCGAGCTCATTGACTATTCAATCACTGCGACTCGATCCAACAGCCTCTGAAGTCCAACTTCTTCCAATTCATGACGACAATATGTACCACAACTTTATTTGACTTAGTATTGCGTAACTTAGGTTGTCAGTAAATATCTATGACAAATTTTCACAATCTGACTGGTGTAGTCATTTTATTTTGCTGATGTAATATCAAGATTTTGTTTTTTGGCTTTTAAGCACCCAACTTTTGGCCAGTGAGAGTCTCGTTTCACTTACTTCAGCTTGTGGGCAACTGGTTACAAGCATCAATCCTCATACAATAAGTGTATGTGTGTTTCTCTTGAACTCGAACATGAAAAATCTGTCCGAACTTATTCAGTTCAAGATTCGTTACTCCATAATATCATTTAGTATAACGGCAAAAGAACGTCTCAGGTGATCCATAAAGAAAAATTCGGTGAAGACAGAAGTGAGACAGGGCTGGCTGCCTACTACTATCTATCCCCATCGATGATATTTCTAACCATGCAGAAAACTTTGTGGAGCCGAGAAGACAAGAATATATTTGACCGATAAGAAGATTTGGATTTCGTCGATGATTTGTCTCTATAATGTCACACAAACATGAAAACAATACTCGAAATCAAGAAACTAGCAGAAGAGAGGCTCCTAGCGAAGAGAGGACTTCAAGTGAACGTAGGGAATACGGAGATGATGCAAATAACCAACCAACAACAAACACCAATCACTACTTTTTGATTGGACACAAGTAACTAGTGTGCTGTGTCTTGTCCTTTCTTTGGTGCAGACTGAATTCTATCGGTCAGGTTTGTAATGTGGCCACCATTCTAGGTAGCTCGCCATCACAGTGCACATTGATTTGATGATATTAGATGGTTGGAGGCAATCGGCAGGATGGCGAGCTACCTAGAATGGTGGCCACATTGCAAATCTGACTGATAGAATTCAGTCTGCACCAAAGAAAGGACTAGACACGTCACACCAGTTACTAGTGTCCAATCAAAATATCCACTACAGTCCTACAGGAGGTCAATCGCGAGCCCGAATAGCTCAGTGGTAACGTCTCTGACTGTAGCACTTGGTTACGCGGGTTCGAATCTCAGAAGGGACATGAGTTCCTTCAATGTGGTTGCAGATACGCCTTGCTGACTGGTTAGTGCCAACTTGCACGAAACCTAGGTCCAAGGCTTCCTGCCGATTGCCTCCAACCATCTAATACTAATCACTACGCAATAAATTTGGACGAGGTCACTTTCTTCATTTATCTAGGAAGCATCTTTCAATTACAGGCAGTTGGAGCACGGATGAGAATATCGAAACCAGTCAGGATCGAAAAGGCAAGTCAGACATTCATCACTGTGAAATCAGTTTGGAAATCTTTTGCACTCCACAACATAAAGAACAAGATGTGGATTTTCAACACCAATGTTAAGTCAGTTAGTTCTATATGCATCAGAATTTAGACCAGCGTGTCATGAAAAGTATCTCCAAGAGGTTGGAGACTTTTATCAACAACCGTCATCGGTGGTTCCATACTAGAGATTAGATAGCCAGCGAGAAAGAATTAGCAACAAGAAACTCTAGCAACAGACCACCTAGGGCGATGGATCGGACACACTCTGAGGAAACCATCAAATGATATCGTACGCCAGGCTGTCTCTCGAGTGGAACCCGAATGGGGAAATGACGAGTTGTTCTAGGGTGATATAGAGGAGATGAAGGCTTATGCACAAGCAATCATAAGGCCAGTTGAAGAGAGCCTCATAGAATAGCACAAAATGGAGAGGCGCTGTTGAGACAATATGTTCTACTTGGAACCCAAGGGAAAAATAATACTAATAATAACAGCCATGTATAAGTACATAGTACAAGGTCGAAATAAATGATTATTTCGGAATTTGTTCATGTTGAGGTTAGTGGTGCTCGGTCCCATCATCATATGCTGCAAGATTTAATGTTTTTATGCCGACGAACGTCTCTTTATATACTACTGATAAATCTTATCAGTAGCACTCGCCACATTATTATTATGACTCCCTTGCGTTCTGAGTGGAACATAGAGCTTCAACAGCTCTTCACTATTTCATCATGTTCCATGCAGTCCCTTTTGGTTAGAACCTGTATTATCCTGTATGTCACCATTGCAGTCATGCCCATCTCATCGTTTCCTTTTCGACTTCCACTCGAGGGCTGGCATGGTGAGTAATGTCACTAGATCGCATAGGCTACGAGAGCCACCTCTTGTGCAATGGGTCTTACAAATTATTTAATTTAGATTTTCCCATCCAATAATTGACTGAAGTGACGTTTGAAACTATGGGCACTGGGTTCGAGCCTCGGCGCGAGTATATCCAGATGACGAGTCCCAAACGGGACGAAATTCGCATCCAGGATTACACTGCTAGTCACCATCCACCGCTTGACTTCATATTAAGACCAATTTATATTGTCTGGCCAACAGTTTTATTGTGCACTCGCCTCTTATCCATGTTTCAATTTGAGCAATAAATGTTTTGATGTTAAACAAACAGACGCTTGTTGCATTCGCGTTACAATTGGAGCAAACTTTTAGTCATTGGGATGAAGTATACACGTGATCACAGAGTCTAGATCTCCTCATTCACTTAAAAAATACAACTGGAGACTATTGATTTCAATCCTGTCATAATTTGAGATTATTTTTATTATTATGCGCCACACAAAATCCCGTAGTTAACGCGAGAACACTGGGATATTGCCGAGACCGTAGCATAAGGTTATCTTAACCTGCCAACTGCCCCCCCCCACGCGTGAGCCTTTAACTTGAAGTCTGATTCACAAGACAGTGAAACCGCGTTCTCATGGATCCCGTTGTCCGGAACAGATGTAATACGTAATTCACTCCTTTCGAATTTGGGAGCCCAAGTATTTTTTTGATTATAGCTTTAAACCACACAGTATTTTTGGTACAAGTATGGTATTTTCAGCATGTGATAGCAGTAGCCCAAATTTTGCAGGCCAACCATAGATATCAGGTGTGCGTCGGTAGGGGATCGAAGCCTGGACCATGTGCATGGTCGGCGAGAGTCATAACTGCTATGCCACCGACGCATAGCTTCAGAATCAGGATTTCCCAGCTTTCCTAACTAGACCTGCTGGATGAGACCCCTAGTCTGATTGTGAAAGCACCAGACATTTATATTCACCGTTTTACTTTTGTGTGAGGTTAAAGGTGGTTAGTTTGTGATGACTAACCTCTATCTGATTTCATTTTTTTAAATTGATAAAAATGCTTATGGGCAACCTAAAGAATAGTGACCACGGGGTGTGACAACGCACCGATAGCCTTGAACGCATACCATTCGTTGGATTACATTACCTGCTGCGTTATTACAGCTCCAGAATGAACGCTGTGTACGAATTGATGTGTGAATTTCATCCTTTTTTCGTTTAAAGTACTGTTTAGTCAGTGGGCTGATAGCACTTTAGGTTTAGGGTTAAGGCTCAGCACTAAGATAACAGTTAGGGTGTTTTATTATTATTGTCTGTACTTTTATTGTAAATAAATATTTATAGGAGGCGAGCGTTTCGTTGTTCATACAGATAAAATCCTTTTGATGGCTATGCAATTTGAAAACTGATACCCTAGAGCGCTACATCAGGGCAAAATGTCGTCTTTAGTGTGTTTCACTATTACTATTATGTTAATATTTCTCATATATAAACAGCTTTTTGATGTAGAATATACGTCAGGTTCTGTAATCATCCAGTGAATGGTATGCGTGCCAAGGTCATTGGTGAGTTCGCACTCCCTAGTCGCTATTCTTCAGGTTGACAATCTCAATCTTATATGACTCTACTCATAAATGCTGCTTTCCCTATTGATTTGTTTATTTATTTATTTTTATTTACTTTCAGATGAACTCAATTTTTATGAAAACCGCGCGTGTTATCTTGCTGAGCATCCACTGTTTATAACTAACTGAAGAACACCGCCGCCGCCACCAACAACAACAACAATGATATGCATTTAGACACGAACACTCTACACACTGAGATTCAATACTCTCCGCTGTCACTCTCTTTCTCTCTCTTTCAGTATCATAATTAATTATCGTCTCGTTTAGGATAAAATAAACAGATCAACAAAAGAATAAACTTGGTTCTGTTAAATTAGGCGCCCACCGCCCACCTCTTTCTCGAAAAAAATAATCTACTAATCATGTATGTGCCGACACATTCTTATACCATGTAATAATAATAATAATAGTTATCTGTGTAGGTATACATTGCAGCAAGCAGGATTTCATCTTTGTATGCTTGTGTCTGACTGTCTGTCTCTCCTTCACTCTTTTGTAATCTCTTTTTAAAAATAATCTTTCGTCTGTATCTCCTGCCGCCATTTTCTTTTGTGTGTGAACCCCCGCCCGCCGCCGTCTTTTATTCCATTTGCGTATCCATTCTAAACAAAATCTTCTTTGTTCAATTGTTCAATAATGCCTAAACTAAGGAGTTCTGTTCGAACACTGTGTTATACGTGTAATTGTCGTGTTTTATACTACAACTTTTACCTTTTTAGGATAATACTACTTTTTAATAGTAGTATGAGGCAAACCGACCGTTTCATCTTTGTAATTTCGATCTTTATGACTTATGAGGTGATCATTTCTCAAGTTTTATTGGCATGATATATGTATATACGCACATATATATACTGCTGGCTGTCGCTACACCATATATTTTTAATGATACACACTACTATTGTTAGTAGTAGTAGTAGTATATCGATTACTCTTTTCATTTTATCGATTATTATATTTATTTATATATGCATATGTGTTGTTGTTGTTGTTCCCTTGGGTTCCTAGTGGAACAAAGGGCTTCAACTGCACTTTTTACCTGCATCCATGTTAGTCCATACTGTTTCAGCCCCTCTTCACACGATCTCCTCCATGTCACCCTTTCGGGTTCCACTCGAGCACTGGCCTGACGCGCGATGTCACCCAGCGGCCTCCTCACCAAGTGTGTCCAATCCATATCCACTTTCTCCTCCATATTTGTTGAGCGATTGGTTCTTGTTTTGTTTCTTCCCATAGTTTCTTGTTAGTGATTCTTTCCGGCCATCTGATCTTCAGTATAGAGCGACGAAGACAGTTGTTGATAAAGGTCTGGAACAGGCTGTTGGAAATATTCTTTGTGACCCGCCAAGTTTCTGATCCCTGATAGAAGAACTGACTTGACGTTTGTATTGAAAATCCGAATTTTGTTGTTGATGCTGCTGAGTGACGAATATTTCCAGATTGGTTTCAGGTTGATGAATGTGTTTCTCGCCTTCCCGACTCTCGATTTGACGTCCTCCTCGTCCGTTCCTCCTGTAGTTGAGACAATGCTCCCTAGATAAGTGAAGTGAATGAAGTAACCTCTTTCATCAAATCCCTCCCGTGCATATGCATATGTGTAATACATTTGAAAGTGAAATCTCAATAGAATTCTGTCATAATTAAGGTACTGGTATCCCCGTTTTTTTTCTCTCTCTCAAAGTGTTATTTCTGTGATGACGGACAGATTGTTGTCTGTCTCTCCCGCTGCCTATTGTTTCCTTATACACAACATACTAACAAGGAAATGTGCATTGGATTTCTGAAGAACTTTTTTCTTCACTGTCTTCTACTCCTGAATGAATAATACATTGTCACTGTTTATTGGTGAGGTAGGTGGTGGTGATGTGACTATAGCCTTCTTGATGTGGTGGTGGTCGGTTGCGTTTTCATATTCCTCCTCTCGACGATGCAACGACCTACACTCTCCAGCTCTGACGATACCTGTAAAGTAGTTTGGATGGCGGTTAATCTGATTGATATCAGTTATGGGACCGTTGAAAAAAACGGTAGAAAGTACTGGACAGCTGTTTCGTTTTGGCCTGGGACTCATCGGAAGTACGCACCCACCGACAGGGTTTGAGCCCAGGACCTTAGGGTTACAAGGAAAGCTAACTCGTAGACCGTTCAGCCACTGGGACCTGAATTCACTGGCTAGCTCATGAATTCAAGCTTCTACCAATCCGTGATTTTAGAGCGACTGGAGCCAGCCACTATCTGTCTGTCTGTTTTAGACATAGAACTTTGCACATATGTGCGGCAGTTCAAGTCGCCACACTCCATGTAGCACACAAAGCAAGAGAAGAAAGTAGGAGAAATGGATATTAGAGACACTAAACAGAGGTGTGAGACAAAGGAATAGTAATAACGACGAACAAAACAGTTTAATTGGAAATCATAAGTCACAAGGAGTGGATGCATCTGCGCTAGCCATTGAGAACGACGATTTTGAGCCATATCACCAATTGTTTCCAACCATTGGTTTTACCGTCCTGGGGACCCCAACCGGAAGTCTACACCTTCCTAGGTGGCTTAAACTAACTGCTGTAGATTTCTTTGGCTGATGAGGCCATGTTTTGGTTTGACCACCAATGGCTCTTTTGCAACCTGATCGATCCTATGTCAGCTAACATTGCCCATTGTCGAGGAAGGCGATGACTAGGCATACGTAGCACATGCCCTAACCATCTCAGTATATGCATCTTCACAACCTCGTCGATAGATTTCCCCTCACACCTACCTAGCACTCGACCCAAGCCTAACCTCAATATTGCTCACCTTATTATGCCACTTCACGCGGGAGATAGAACGCAGACACCTATGATAAAGGATAGCTAGCTAATCTTTTGATGTCTTCCACTCTCAATGGCCAGATCTCAGCCAGAAAGGAGGGCGAGGCGAACTACTGAGCAGTATACACGCCTTTTGGTCGATAGTCGGATATCACGTCTACGTCAGAGACGGCGTAAACTGGCATATGCGAAACTAGCCCTCTGCATTCGTACTGAGATTTCGTAAGAGATCAGCCTAGTGGGGCTGATGGTACTTCCCAAATAAGTGAAGCGGTCAACGTGCTCTACCAATTCACTTCCTATTTCTAGTTTAGGAGTCGGTGTAGTCCAATCCTGTAACATCATCTTGCATTTGGCGGGAGCGAATCGCATGTCAAACATTCATAGATTGCAGCTCAAGATGTTCAGAAGACTCTGCATTTCGTCAACGTCCTCGCTTAGAAGGACTATATCGTCATTTGCGGCGAGTATTTGTCCTCACTTTTGACCTGCTGGTGGACCACACTGATCACGATGTCTCAGTCGAACTCTAGGTAACTTTCGTCTCTCAGCCACTAGCGAGCATCAGTTATAGTTACTATCCTAGTGTAAGTCTGACAGCCCGATTGTATTCCTAGTGAGGTGTGTGTTTACTTCAGACAATCAACTATGCACTGTCTGTCCACCCTGGAGAAGTGGAGAGGGTTAAAGGCAAAGTCGACTGTGAAAGCTGTACATCTTGGCATAGCTTGTAGTGGTCAGTGATAAGATATTCATACAAACTGAACTCTGAGAAAACCAATTCAAACAAACTGTGTGTGTGACCCGCCGTTGCAAGCAGTTGCAATCATGCAACACCCCATCCCAATCGAGCTTTTGACTTGAAGTGTGATCCACAATGCAGTGAAGCAGGGTCAGAAGATATGTTCCCATGGTTGATGGTGAGAAAACAGGTCCACATGCCATTCGTATTCTGGAGGCCATAAATACTATAGGTTTGGAATCATGGTCTTACAGATCCCTAGGTAGATCTGCATTTCCACCGGTGCGGTCGTAAGGGTCACACGTTTTCATTTGCCCTTATACTTTAGTAGCGAATTGAATTTACCTGGCATAGACTATGAACGCGTAGCCACATATGAGCATTTCGATAGAAATACCGAAGTCTACACCCACCTTCGGTCATACCAGATCTTTCATGGGGGCAGGGGTTTTGTACACTAGTATTTATTTTTTATTTTACTCCTTTACGTTCCCAGTGGAACACAGGGCTACAAAGTAGAGGCTTGAAGTTTCGGTAGCAGTGGTGTTTATTTTTACGCGTGGGATCGCTAGCCTCATGCCCAACCTTCCCTCTTTACCAGTCTTATTACTGGCTTAGCAAACTGAAGGAGTGCGTCGGCCGAGGATCGAACCCTGAAACCCATCTGCGTCGTTGGTGTGCAATCTACCGCTGTGCCACCGACGCAGTGTACACTAGTAACAACGAGTTTTCATGTGATAGTGAAATTGCTTCTGTGTAACATTTAATATGCCTCTCATAGTCTCTTGATTTCCATTTGGTTGCTTAAGTTCTGGTGTTATCGAGTTACAATGAATAAAAAAGTGCTAACAGAGTTTCTCTAATTTCCATTAACTTTATTTCGCCATGTAGCACAACTAAACATCGATTGCTGTGCGTACATTATTAGATTTGATTTTATTGACGAAATAACTTGAGACTTTGCTTAGCGATTGATCATTTGAAGTTGCTGCAATCCGCAACAGAAGGAGTTATACTACAGTACAAAAGTTTTAAGAAATTTTAGGTGATGGGTTCGCTGTTGAGAAAGATTTGTATCCACATCATCATAGCTGTACATCTTCATCATCTCGATAACTCCAGCCGGTCAAATTACACTTTCCGATATGGCCTAGGTCAACAGTCACCGTGATAGATATTCAAAGGGCAATTGGTACATGATTTCATCCGACAGAATTTATTTGTATTCCCTAAGTTACCGAGTGGAACATTGCCGCTTCACTCTGTTCTGTGCGGTTTTTTGTCTGGATCAACAACTTCCCATAAGCATGCATCCATTTTCTCCTCCATAACATGCTCAAACCGATGCTTAGACTATCGTTTCCCTTTGAGAGGATCTGGTGTGTGTTGTGGACTGGTGTACAGTCTCAGTGTGTGTGTTTGTCCAATCCATTTCCCTCCGTATACTTGTTCGACAGAAGATTCTTTGTTGACAGAGTTTCTTTTTGTTGGTCATCTAATCTTCAGTATCGCAATGGAGAATGTACAGATAGGTCGATGAAGTGAATGGCCATAGGATCCCTATCAGGAACTATTTTCGCAAAAATATTTCAAGCAAAACTAGAAAAAACAGTCCATTAAAAGATGAGATAGAAAATATGGAAATGTCTTGTGGTTACATGGATGACACTTTTGAAGTGTACTATGAAGGGTTACGTATACGTGATTTGATTTTGAGCCACTTCAATAATGCTAACTCGGAAGTCCGTTTCACCTACGAAAGACAATACACCAACTCTCTGAACTTTCTCGACGTCTAAATAACGAGAAGAGAGGACGCATCCGTCAAAAAAACCATATTTAGAAAGCTAGAGA